CTCTTTCTTTGTCCTTCGCTTTTTCTGAGTTACAAGACACTTTCCTTGCTCAATGATCCTCGTATTCCCCTCTCAACACTAGTTTTTCGTCGTCACTAGCTTTGATGAAATTGGAGCATATTAAACATTGATCCTTTTTTGAAACAAAAAAGCTAAAATTTTAATGGGTACAAAATATTCATCTGTACCTAACGTTATTTCAGACACCGGTATCATATTATTTTCAGTACACATGTCTTTATAAATTTGATGCCTTTTCATGATGGATAACGAAGCATCCAGACAAAGACGCTTCGAAGTTAGCCTTATGAAGTGTAATTCCATAACACCTGTTTTTTCACAAAGTTCAAATCAGCTTCATTAGGCTTATTTGGGGGTTCATATTTACCTCTCTTGTCATTATCCTTGTACAGCCCCATATCATTTCGCTTTCGAATAGCATCATTCACAACAGTCGAAGAAATAGCTAGCGTGTAACAAAAAAAAACTTCTGACATATCTGCTTCTTCTCTCCGTTGTGAAAAAAGAAACATCTTTTTTTGAATTGACTCTGTTTTTTAGTCAACGAATAGCAAGAACTCTCTTCTGAGTATCTATTTCCACATTACCGAGAATGAAATCCTTTTGCTCGGTATACCTCAAACTCCAGTAGTGGCGACATGAATTATTTCTTTCTTCTGGAGAGATCACACTACATTTATAGAAACATTTCTCACAGTCAATTTCTATTAGTGTTTAGCACTGCTATCTTTTTTCTCGTAGAATAAGGTACACCTCCAGATCATCTTTTCTTCGCTATATTCACTTTCCAATTTTCAGGTTCAGGTTTCATCCAATGTTTCCTTTTCCGAGTAGCATCGAATACTCCTTTCAATAAGAGTCCCCAAAGAAATATTACGACTTGCTGTGCGTCAGATATTAGCAACATTTGTGCGATCATAACAAAACACAACTTCTGACTAAACTACCGAGCTATCAAAACTTTTATTTCTATAACTGACAACTGCAATCGATCGCTCTCGTACCTACTGGTAAAAAATCATAGACATTTATTTCGTTTTTTGCTGTAGAGAAATTAGTAAACCAAGCAAGAATTATTTAACTGGTAAAATGGAATAAATTTCTTTATAATAGTTATGGTGTTTAAATTATATGGTTCATAATTATAAATGCGCTTATCACCTTTTCTCAGAAAAATTCTTACCATTTTACTATTTAAATTATAAAATGTAAAAACTTTATTGTTGTTAACTGTATAAACTGAAACGAATTGAAGCCGAAGCCGAATTGAAAAGTTATTTAGTATGTTATACTGGTATATTTTTTTTTTTCAAAATGTGAGAAGATATTTCTTTTACAAACTCATTATCTCTGTAGCTATTGGACTCTGCGTTTATTCGGTTTTACCAGTAGATAGCGCGTAAAAAATTACATGTTACTGCCTTTTTAACTCGATTTAGTAACGATTTATTGAACAAGCTCATTTTATATTTACGATGCATTTTCTTCTTGTTGCCAACTGGACGCTGATCCACGGTTCCTGCGATAACGTGAAACCCTTTAGTTAAGGACATTCGACAGTTTTTTTACGGAAACTAATTCACATTACCTATTAAAGTATGGAATGTCCTACCCATTCTGATACGCCATGCCACAAATCCTTAGTAATTGAACACTATTTGTCATTGCTTTGTATGTAATCTTAATTATTACTTATTTATTATGTTTATTATTGTATGATTCATATTTAAAATGTACTAGCCGTTCTCCGCGACTTTGCTCGCGTGTTATTTAGGATTTTAATATTGTTTTTTGCGCGGAACCCTAATTATTTTTCTAAAATAAGAGTAGCCTAAGTTACTCCTTAAAACATCAGCTATCTGCGAGTGAAAGTCTCGTCAAAATCGGTCCAGTAATTTCGGAGATTAGCCAGAACAAACAGACACAGATAATTTTTTTAAAAATTGTGTTTTTGTTATAAGTACCTACTACCTAAGTAGCCATGTAGTAAAAAACTGTTATTTTGACATTACGAATAGACACTTCTATTTTATTTATTTGTATAGATGTGTCCGAGTGTTTTAAAAATATTTTATGGTATATAGCTAAGATATTTTTAAATATGTATAATTGTAATTTAAATAATTGTTATATTTACAATTAATGAAAAGAAAATAGATTGATATACATATTTACATAACACAAGTAAGTGACAAATATATCTGGTTCATGGTTTTATTTTATTTATTTCTATTTTTTTAATTATGCTTAATTTAGGTACACCACTTTGGTTGCTTATTAAAACGCATAATTCCTTTATTTTTTGTAATTATTATTTATGGTGTAAAATAAAGTTATATTTATTTATTATTATCATTAACCAAAACATTGTTGTGTTTGTTAAATTTGTTCCACCTCTGACTCTAACCTCGAAGTTATATTCTATTTGTACAAAATCGCTACGCAGAATATGTTTAGGATCTAAATTATTTGAGATTATTAGAAACGAGCATGTCCAGAGCAACTTGATAAAACCCAAAGGATTGGTAGCTGTAATGGCAAGTAGACGAAAAACCAATAAACGTTGGGGATAAAGTTGTCTAGATGAAGTCTCGTAACACAAAGCAAATTGTTGTTATACGACACATAACTAGATTAGTGACTAGCAGTTCTGGCGCATACTAATGGAAGGATTATATTATTATATCTAATATAATAATAAGCATTATATATAATGCTTATTATGTTATATGCTTACTATATATGACTGCCTCGTTGGTCTAGTGGTTGTAGTAGTGCGACTGCTGATCATGAGGTCCTGGGTTCGAATCCTGGGTCGGGCCAAAAAATCAATTATTAAGTTTTTCTGTCAAGAAATTCTCAGTAGCTGCCCGGAGTCAGGAAGTTGGCGGTGTCTCACCCCCGAGCCTCGGAAAGCACGTAAAGCCGTTGGTCCTGCGCCTGATATCTCTCCCGGTCGCGTCGGTTTACCGTCCCATCGGATTACGAGAGTGAGGGAATAGAGAGTGCACCTGTGCTTGCGCATACACTTGGCACTATAATCCTGTCCTGCACCGATGACTAGCCTCCTTTGAGGCAGGCCGCCATGGCCGAAATTCGGTCTGGAGGACATTGTATATATATATATAGAAAATTAAAGGCAAGAAAACTCATCCTTAGCCTTCTTCGTGTATAGTTGGCTGCAAGTATTCAAGTACTGTAATAGCTACTACTACTACTACTAACTACTATACTACTGCAATTAATATCAGGAAGACCGTAAGTTTGTTTGTAACATTTTATGACAAAAAGCTAACAGTAGACTTAATCGGACTTAAAAGGAAATTAGATCCGCCTACGGGTATTAGTGTTCTGTGGCCATGATACTAAGTTTGTTGCTTCCTTTTTTTAAGATCATAACTTCCTGGATCCTGACGCCCCGTATAGGGGACAATCAGTGCCTTCCGCTGTCGGCTGTTATTGTCAACGTTATAATAATAGATGCAAAAGATTATATATAGATAGCACTTTCTACAAATTTGACTTTAGGCCCACAATAAGCGAGGAAGTTTTTGTTACGCCGGTTTGAAATCGCGCGCTAACAGACTACCAAAGAAATGAATACCCGTGGTAAGTTTTAAAGTGTTTTTTATTGGAATAACGCATGTTTCTTTTGAAATTGTAATGTATTGTCATAATGATGCTACTTGACATATTATATAGGCTGCACTAAAAGTATCGGGAATGGAATATTTCCACTGTTCCTGTCATATTAAAATCTTTTTAATTGAAAACTCCTTGGTTTTAAAAATCGAATACCATTTATTTATTTAAAAAAAAGATTCTCGGTCTTGTCACGAGGTTGTAAAACTTGTTTAGTCGTTGAGAAAATGGAATTGACTCAATAAAATTCAAGAGCGATGATTTATTATGACTTTCGAAGTGGTTTAACACAAAAACAGTGTGTTGACCGGATGATTTCTGCATTTGGTGATGAAGCCCCATCCAAAACCACAATTTATCGCTGGTTTGCTGAATTTCAACGTGGACGTGTCAAGCTCAGTGACCCCGCATCGTCCAAAAACTGCAGTCACCCAAGAAAACGTTGATGCTGTGCGTAAGCTGATTGAGGAAGATCGACATGTGAACCGCAATAAAATTGGCATGAGTCAATAAATCTCAAAATAGAAAAAAGTGCCCAAAAACAAAAAAATAAATATAACCAAAATTTCGTTCACGGAGTGTTGCAAAAAAAATGGTGGCCACGTTTGTCTCCAAAACCGGCCATGTTACGACTATTCCTCTTGAAGGACAAAAAACGCTTAATGCAGAATGGTATGCAAGCATTTGTTTGCCACAGGTCGTTTCTGAACTCCGTAAAGAGAACTGCAACCGCCGCATCATTCTCCATCACGACAATGCGAGTTCTCACACCGCACACAGAACAAAAGAGTTTTTAGAGCAAGAAAACATAGAATTATTAGACCATCCGCCGTACAGCACCGACCTAAGCCCTAATGATTTCTATACTTTCCCTAAAATAAAGAATAAATTGCGTAGAGAAAGATTTTCATCACCTCAAGAAGCTGTGGATGCCTACAAAACGGCCATTTTGGAGACCCCAACTTCCGAATGGAATGGTTGCTTCAATGATTGGTTCCATCGTATGGAAAAATGTGTCAAATTTCGCGGAGAATACTTCGAAAAGCAATAAATACATTTTTAAATAGTAATGTTGTGTCACTTCCTTGATTCCCGTAATTTTCAGTGCCGCCCTCGTATGAACACTTTTTTTTCGTATGTATTTCGATAAATGATATGACCGTACTGATTCCTCGTTCGTGGATATCCCGCATAGAGGCCTTTGGGTTTCGGCTCTTACGTTTCGGCTTTACGTATGTATTTAATATACATTGTGGTTAAAAGTTTCTTATTATTTCCTAGGCTTACTTCAGAACTTTCTTCGGAACAGATACAGTCAGATTTAGAGTTCAGAGATGATGACTCAATCATCGAAGGTATTTCCGATGACGAGGACTCGATTTCTCCTACTCCTCATGCAGAAACCCTCCAAGGAGAAGAAAGCTCTCGTGAGTATTCTAGTAATGATGATGTACCAATATATATGTGTATTACAAACACCATTAGAATATTTTACCAGATACATTCCTGAAGAAATATTCAGCTCCTTTTCAAATCAAACTTATTTACATGAAACAGGGAAGACCTTAGGTACAACAAAATATGAAAATCTTTTTTGGCATATGTATCGCCATGAGCTATTTGGGTTAGCCAAGAATTAAAATGTATTGGATGAATAAAACTAGGATCCCAATGATAGTCTATCGTATGACTAGAAATCGTTTTTTTTTGATAAGGACTAACCTGAAACTATTGACCGATCTTGATGTCGATACGGCTGCCAAACAATATAAGTTTTGGAAAGTGCAACCCCTGATTGAAACGGTACGAAAAACTTGCCTAGAAAACTCAGACCTCAGGAAGTCAGTATTAATGAAAAAATAATACCATTTTAGGGCCGAGTATTAATGCGGCAGTTTATCAGGGGAAAACCAAACCCTTGTGGGCTGAATAATTTCGGTTCCAGCCCAAATGGAACACCCTTAGATTTTTTCTTGTAGGAGGGCAAGGCTGATTGCAAACTACCGACTGCTGAAGCTGAAGGTCTGGATATTGGCGGAAAAGTCGTAATGAGACTGGCTAATAATTTACCTGATGGTTCCAAGCTATACATGGATAGATATTTTACATCAATTAAGCTGTTAGACAAACTATATACAGAGAAAAAAATGCAAAGAAGGAGCACTTTCAAGAAGTCAAAAATCCAAGATCCATGAAGAATCCATGCAAGATCAGGGACGCGGTTCTTCTGACCAATGACTCCACGACTTAAAAATGAGGTGTAAAATTTGAAAGATTTCATAGCCAGAAAGTTAATTTGTTTGGAAAAATGTAAAGGTTAATGTTTCTTTCTGTACTATGTATTAGATTTATTAAATATTAGATTAAAAATAAATAAACCAAACCCGTTTTTTTTATTCATAAAAGTAGAAATATTAAAAATATTTTTAATGTGCAAAGAAGTAAAGAGCAAACAACTTAGGCATTGTTTTCTGTTTTAATATAAGTAATACTATAGAAAGTGATAAGCTTTTATATAAAACTAACTACAGTTAAATGACATTGTGTAACAAAAAACTTCACCTCAGTTTCAACTAGCGACACCTGGCGAGTGCAAGATTATTAGCCCTCATTAGCAAGGAATGATGGCCTAATGGCTTGTTCGAAGTGGTTTGACAACAAACCAGTAGTTATAACATCATCTGCAGATTCAAAGTTACCTGAAAACGAATGCCGGCGTTGGTGTAAGAAGACGAAGCAATACATTGAGATTAAAAGGTCTTATGCTATTCAGCAATATAACGAAAATATGCAGGGAGTGGACATGCTGGTTATGTTTATTAGCTTTTATGGAATAAGCGCACGCTCAAAAATGGACGATTCGATTGATATGCCATTTATTCGATTTTGCGGCAGCTGCACGATGGTTGGTCTACCGGAAAGAAGCCCAAATGTTGGAGACTCCTAAAAAGAACACTCTAGATTATTTGGAGTTCAAAGCTGAAATAGCAAATTCTTTGCCCTATTTCACTTCAGCAAGAGAGCAAATACCTGTACGAGGAAGTTTATGATATGCCAGCAGACGCTAGTCAAATTAGCCGCAAGAGGAAATATGTCCCTCAACCCCCATTGCAGCTGAGGACAGCCATGGCAAGTCATTTATCAATGATTGGTAACGAGTCAGATGACCAAAGATGCTGCTTGCCAGGAGCAAGATAACAAGGGTATTCTGCTCAACTAGTAGCATGCATCTGTGTTTGGTCGCGGGGCACAATTGTTACAAACAATATCACGAACAAAATAATTTCTATCTGAATAAACACTTCTTTCTTTCACTGAGCTTTAAGGTTTTAGTTATATCTTTCTCATAGCACACAAACTGAAAGTCCGCTTTAGGGGACACTTCATAAAATAAATATATAAATAGAAAAAAAAACTATATTTTGCTGCTTTATAATATATTTTTAAGTATGCTTATCAAAAATTGTTTCAATATCTATCAAAACAACACCTCAGGACCGAGGAGGTTGATTATTCTCACCTGTCTCCCTAAATTGGGGTTTTGCAAGCAGACTGCAAAACCTTGTCCGTCGATCAGGAGGATGAACTGTGTGAAGAGGTTGGCAATTGAAAAAAAAGTTTTAAGTACACTTTTATTTTAGGCAAATTAATTTCACTAGGAACTGTTTTCAGGTCATAATTTTGTAAGTCAAACGTAATAGCGTGCGTATTACCACAGATTAATAAATAGTTTACCAACAGATACATCACTCCCATACAAAACCGAAAATACCTACGCTTTATAGCCTACAAAATCTTAATAATATCTGCTGCTCGCTGCGAGAAGAAAATGTACCGTAAGTACGCGCTCGAAGAGTCGACATTGTGTTGCCCGCTGTGCGACTCACGTGGAAGCACGTCATCGCACGAATGCGCTAAGGTCGTACCTATGATGATTATTGTAATAAAACGAATGTTGCGAAATACATACTAACAATATTTTTTATTTGTCAATCAAATATGTTAGAGTTTTATAAACTAATTTATACTTGTTTTCCTTCTCTGAATTCTCGGTTATTAAATTTTATCGTTGAAGTTTGCTAAATCGCGTAAATAATCACGAGGAAAACAGGAGCAAAGCAGAGGAAAAACAATGGTTTGTAAAATCTGCAACACTGTGCTGCCAGACGATTCATTATGACGTTGTCAAAATTATTTGAGAATAATCTTTCAAATTCTTCAATATAATTATTAAACGGTTCTGGTGGGAATTTTAGCCCACCATAAAAAGATTAATCTTTATTATAAGTACACAGTGTTGTTTCGTGAACAGTAAGGGTTTCCTGTAACAAAGCATTGAAGCTAGTGCAGTTATGTTTTTTTTGCATCACTTACATAATAAACTTTAATATTAGAGTCAACGCAAAAAAGACAATTTTATTTGTTTTTTTACTTTTACACCCATACACTGCACAATAATTACATGGTTCTGGCATTTCGATTAATAAGCGCGGGAAACGTGCGCAGTGCAATGTCGGTGCTTGCGGCAGCCCTATGTCGGTTGTATCGTGGACGAAACGAAGAGCGGTAGGCATATAACGCGTGGCCTAGAGCGAGTGAAGGAGGCCTGGTATTACGTATTTTATGTAAGGGTAGTAAATGTTGGTGTTTTGTGATCGTGTAGTAAAAAAAAAATACACCACAACGATGTATCACACTTGCGCAGATTCGGGGCGTATCGCTAGTACATCATCATCATCATTACATCCCTTCACAAGTCCACAGCTGAACGTAACCCTACCGGAATAAAACAACACGCTCCTGAGGCACCTGTAACCATCGATTTTCTGAATTCCACCCACCTAGGTGGGTTACTTATGCGTTATAGAAAACTTCAATTATCTACTCCAATCAAAGCCTAAAAATGTTAAGAGTAAGATTCAATTTCACTTGTAAGTTTTTGTAACATGCTGAGAATAAGATACAAACTTACTGGTGGGTGGCACGTGTCGCTGCATGTTTGTTTTATTTACTCTATCTTTTTTAAATCACTCAATACAGGTAGATATAACTTGTGTGACATATGATTCATGTTATTACTTGTTATATATCGTGAAATGTTCCATGCCTACATATTACTATTCAACATGACACGGAAACTAATTTGTTGATTCATCAATCCGCATTTCTAATCTTACATTATCTAACAGATACAAATGAATGTAATGAACTAGTCCTAGCAAACATTAAACATAATATAGCAATTAGTCCAGTCCTATACAAAAATATCGATTTTGTGTATATTTAATATAAAACATATAATTGTAACTTACTTAAGTTTCAAAACATCATATAATTTATACTTGCGATGTTCTCACGTAGTGAAACATCATTTTTTTTTTTGATTTGGTTAAGCACTTGTACTTGTTTTGCAATATTTATTTGAATTCATTACTTTTTTGACGATGAAAACCGACCGGCCCCAGGGTTCTTATGATTGATGATACCGCGAGGCGAAACTGGTCAGTTTTTATACTCAATAAATTAATATTTTTTAATAAATATTGTGAAACAATGCTTAACCAAATCACAAAAATCATAACATTGTCAGTTCCTAGTGCATTGGAAATTTTTTATAAAGGCGCAATTTTAAATCTTAGAGTAAAGCTGAAAGCCTTAGGACTGACCGCACTCCACTAAATGAAAAACAGTAGTTAAGAAGTAGGTACCTACTGCTTGGATTTGAAAATGTGGATGACATGAATTGATATATTTGTGGAAATATGGTGGATAAAAAATAATTACTACCATAAACAGTTTATTACTAACATATTATATGCTAAAAGGAAAATTTAAGTTCATAATTGTTGAGTATTGTGCGATATATTTCTTTTTCGAATTTACCGAAACCATTCGCCTCTTAATTCATACGTACATTGTATATAATATGAACAAAGCAAAAAAAATGTCAAAATCACGACTTGAAGAAAAGCATATATATTATAATATAATGGATGATATTTATAATTCCTTTAACTATGTAATTTCATAAAATTAAGTTGCTTTTTTAAGTTGTAATTCCACATTACATTTATTTTACTAGTTAATAAAATGTAAGTACTATGATTTATTTCGTCGTCTCTGTCACAATTGCCTTACACTTTTATATTATCTATTGTATATATCCAATAATGCAGTATAAGGCTATTGGTGAATTGTATCTATTTTTACTTTTTATATGTTTGCACAACTTGGCAAACTATTTACAGACTTAAACTAACCAGTGGTGTTCTATATATCTTATAACTCTTTTTAATCTGATGTACCTTCCTAATAAAATATTTATTTTATTAATTGAATATCGGTATTTAGATTATATAAGCTTTTACATATTCGTAGTTAGCTAGCGAATTGATGTAATGTCTGTAGAACTAAACCTTAGATCAGTAAAATGTCAATGCGTGTTCAATCGATATTTTCTTGCCATTAAAATTTTATTAAGGCGTGTTATAATTTATATTTTTGGTTTATATTATTCATGTGACGTATGTTAGTTAAAATTGTAATAAAAAGTATTATTTGGCCACTTTCAATGTTATTATCTACAAGTCTTTATGATCACGTTAACCATCGCTTCCTAAAATTAAGTATTATCTCTAAAGCTCTCTTTCTATTGTCATTTAGTAAAAAGAAAGCTATTAGCATTTCTTACATTGACGTCGATGTTTATGTGTAAGGTCTTATATTGTTAATAAAGTGGCAGTTTTTAATTTTATTGAATAACAAAGGAGCACACAGTCCACCTGATGGTAAGTTGATGCTTTAGACTATATAAACATCTACACCAATCCTCGATTAAGAATCAAAATGCGGGTGCACTGCCACCCCTGAGGACTAAGATGAAATGCCTCGTTTCCATTAAAAAGGCTATTTCTGTTTTCTACACTCACCATACGAAACACAGCATCATGAAGCTGCTATTTTATGCTGGTTTTCTGTGATATTGTTGCGCGCTGTAATTAGCCCACATTAGCGCCATCTGATATCAAGCAGTAGAAATAGGAGCGTCAATATCTTCCTATAACTCTCCCACTAACGCCATCTAGTATCGAATGGAAGAACTAAGCTTTCTAGAAAGCTCCACACTCGAACTTTCTTCACCTGGTCGGTCGGTGGCCGGTATTTGCTGGAATATTCTGGATGTTTCGGTGGAAAACGCCTATATAAAGTCGTTAAGGGGCGCGACCGGGGCACTATTGAATTGGCGATACGAGCGAAGCCTTCGGAGTGAAATAAAGTAAACTAAAGTGTTAAGTGTAATTATTAGTGTGATTTAAGTTTTAATTGGTGTTCAGTAATTAAAGTGTTAATTTTGGTAATTCAATCTGCAGTTTTTATTGTCACGAACCCTAAGCTCGTAACAATATATATCGTGGTCTTTCCCCAGTCGAGCAGACTCATTCATGCCACAACCAAAATATAACTGCAGCGTGGCTCTACCGCGAAAGTTTGAAGTAAAGTTTGGAATTTGGAAATATAAGCTTAGTTGACATGTTTTCTTAATCAGCCAGTAAGTCTACTAGCGAACATGGGCCTCTCCAGTTGAAGGGAAGACTTGCCTTAACGTCATGCTTGTTATGCGGATTGTGACGTAAGACGTCTTGAAATTTTGATGAACTTGGTATTTTACGCCTGGCGTAAACGAGTTTGTTATACCGCCATCCATCTAAGGGCATGGGGTTTTTCTAGTGTTCCCAATAGTCGTTTCTTATGACACCCACGAGACAAAATGTGGTGATGGATTCTCTAACACAACCTCACTAACATGAAGAGTTGAATAAATTTCATCCATTATTATTTATCTAGCAAAAATTTATAAAAATTGTATATATTATATACACCATCTGTTCTATAGATTAAAATAAAGGAATAATAAACAAAAAGTAGATTGATCAAGTAATAAGTGGCAATAAGACGGTATTATCAGATTTATTTACCTTTGTTAGTTATACATTGGTAAAAATATTAATGCTATGAAACAATTTGACTTAGCATTTGGTTTGTAACAATAAATTCACGCAGAGGTAATGATTACGTAATAAATGAGCGCTACTGGAAATCCTCATTAAAAGCTATGTGAGGCAGCGATGCTGCAGGTCAACACAGAAAATGTTTAAATTTCAATCCACACTGACATGGTGATGCAAAGCTTTTCGTAATTATTGTTACTTAATCTTATGTGCCTAAGAAATAAAAATTTCCTAAAATATGGAACCTCTTGAACATGTTAGCTAATTAAATGACAAGTATTTTTTTCTTGTTATTCAGTATAAGATTAATTATTTAATACAAATAACTATAACCCTTAAAAAATTTAGTAATAGTATCATAGAGATTTTAAGAATAGTATATACCTATATCCATAAACAAATAAAGTTGTATATTTATTTAAAACAAATAATGCATGAACATATTCTTTTTGAACTTGATTTGTTCCTAATTGCAGGCTATAATTTAAGTTACTGAATTGTGAAACGTGGTATTAAAACTAGCTTAATTACTCAAAAGCAAGTTTGATTTTTTTAAAGGCCACGATAATTTAGGTAATATTATAAATAAAAGAGGTGTTTACCCTCTAAGTGGGTAGGTAAGAGTCATTAAAAGTGATACTTATATATTACATTTAGACCCCAATCTACTTTCAATTGAAGTATACATAAGAAACTTAAGAACAATAAATGCAGTGTTAACATTTAAAAGAACCTAAGTTGAAACACAATAAAAACATTATACAACTTTACTAATGAATTATTTTTTTGATAAAACATGTTTTTCACAAGCAAATAACTACATATAAGATTTTATAAATTATAAACTATTGAAATAAAGGAGTAGATTGAGTTGGAGACTTCATATTGATTGCAAAACTAGAAAGTGCTACCCTCTGGTGGCTGTGAAAGCTTCATGTTCTCCTTTAAAATCATGAGACGTCTCAACTCCTGCAGTACTGTTTTGATGGTGTAGTCGCGTTGCCATCTTGCTAGAATTGGAACTTGTCTATTGTCCACCTGTCAAATAAAGTATTAAATAAACACAAAGGAACCAATATTACAAATAAGATATTCACCAGTTCATGTTTTAACATATTAATAATAAGAATTTTTAACACTTGTTTTCTGTGCTATGCTTTTCACCTCTGTTGTAGTAATTTCGAGAAAATTCTTTTTCACCTCACGATAGATCTCTAATCGAACATGTGCTATTAAACTTACTATAAAAAGTTATAACAAATTGTTAATGCTATTGAACATTTTTAAAATACTACAAACATTGACCTATACAAAATTTGAGAGCTTAAAAATTCAAAAACTTTATTAAACAAAATTAGTATAAAAAGGGTTACTATAATATTAAGGAATTTATGGATGATAATAACTCCTGAGGTTGAGGAGATCACTACCAAGCTATTTTTAATTTGTTTGTGTTGTTAATTGTGTAACATATATGATTGTAAGCAGTTATCTTTTTCCAAAAAAAAGGACTTTCCAAAACAGTTTTTTTCCAAACGAGTGGTAAATTACACATAAGAGTGACCTTCTCTGAGTATTATTTATAATCTATATTGAATAAAAAAGTTTGTTTCTGTTCTGGTAAAACGATTGATAGATTAAACGAACAATAAAACCATTGTTTTGAATCTTAATATATTATTTTTAGTCAAAATTTACATACTAAAGGGACACTATATGTACTACGCTGCAACTATATTATGGTTGTAGCACAAATAGATCAGCTCAAACGGGGAAGGACCCTATTGTCACAGAATACTAGCCAGCTTAATATAGCAGTTTTATGCTGCTGTGTTACCTATGATGAGTGTAGAGATCCAGAGACCCTTTTCACAGGAAACAAGGCATTCCATCTTAGTCCTCAGGGGTGACAATGTATTTGCAGTTTGATTGTTATTCAATGATAGATGTGGATATCTATGGGCCACAGCGTACACTTACCATCAAATGGACTGTGAGCTGGTTTGTTGCTATACATATTAAAAAAAAGACTTAAATTTATTGTAATGATATTGCAGACTTCCTGCAGTTTGTGATCATATCTTAGGCGGCCCCAACCATAACATCAGATTTGATAGACCACAAATCCTCGCGAAAGAACATCGATTCCTACCAAGGATGATACGTGAGGCCATTTAAATTAAAAAAAACATCCTAATTTCAATAGAGAAGGAGGCTGGGTACTACCACCTGCTTGAGACCCTGTAATTAATAAAATTAAAACTAAACCCAAGCATACCACTGCAAGATTTCAAAACAGTAAGTTCATTCTGCATAGATCGGACCATAAACAATAATTAAAAAGCTGAAGGTACTCCGGGTTAACTTTGACATCGGTACGTCAGTCACCTCAGCCCCCCGTGACTATGGGTGCTGGAAAGCACCCGAAACGTCGGATATTAAAAATCAATTAAAATTAAAGGCGATAAAATCCGTAAAAGTAGTTTTAATCAATGTGTAGTGCTCGCGTAAATATAAGAAATCATTAATTTTGCGACTGTTTTCCTTCACCGCCGAGCACGTGGTAAATCAGCACTTAAAATTGCAATTAACAATTTCATTGGTGCCGGCGGGGATCAAACCCGGTTTGCTCACGTACTAGGAAATTTACAGCCAGCGCCAACCATCTGCCACGGCGATACCAGGTTAAAATAGCCAGAGGCGGCTTTACTGGAAAAAATAAATTAATGGAAGCCCCTTGGCTTCCATGTTATTTACGTATTTTTTTGTAAATGCGTTGATTTTAGCTTGAATGCGTTACGTGAGTTTGCATATCCGCGATAAATGTTATTGTGTAGGATTGAGGTTCATTTTACTTAATTTAACCCTTTATTTACGTCATTTTACTTTAATCACGTCATTAATGATTGCCCCCAAATGAGGGATTATAGCTTTTACAATCGGAGTTGAAAATGCATTCGCATTTTGATTCTTAACCCCTCAATCCCTTAGCGAATATTTATACAATAAGAGCTTATTCTAGAATAAGGACGGCAAATGAGCACACAGTCCACCTGATATCTACCTTGATTAGGAATCAAAATGCAGATGCGTTGCCATCTCTGAGTACTACGATGGAATGTCTCGTTTCCTGTAAAAAGGGTCTCTGGTTCGCTACATTCACCATACGAAACACAGCAGCATAGAGCTGCTATTTTACGCTGGTATTCTGTGTGTTTTTCCTTCCCCGGTTGAGCCGACCCATTTGTCTTACAACCATAATATAGCACTGCAGCATGGCTCTACCACCTATAAAACTGAAGTTGTTGTTAACAAGTTAATGAATGAAATATTTTTGTCTTATCTCTACAGATTTAAACCTTTAACTGTATTAAATGCACAGGAAATGTATAGCCCTTCCACAATATATTTTCTTGTGGACATATTAAAATACAACTTTATTATATTTAAATTTATTACAAATTTATTCTTCTTTCTACTGGCAAGCGACATTGCAATGAATATGTTGCAACTGCACAACTTCTTCGACTTCGATCAATTCCTCGGTATTTTGACCCAAGGCAATAATACCATTCTTTCTTTGTTTTGAGTTAGAAACCTGCATCGCTGAGGAATAAATAAAAATAAATATTGCGAAGACACGTAAGTTCGCCAACACGCACTGGGGCAGCGCGGCGGACACTACCTAGCCCTAAAATCCTTTCAGAAATGAGGGGAGGCCTTTGCCCAGCAGTAGGACATATGAATAACTTTAACATTTTTCACTGGTATTCTGTGAAAACATGATCCTTCCTCAGTCAAACTAATGTATCTGTGCTACAACCATAAAATTGCTGCAGCATGACTACCACTCAACATTTAAATCAAAATCCTAATGTATTTCTACGGAAGTTGTGCTTATGCAAATGTTCGATAAATGTTATCATTATATTCATAATAGATATTCCTACCCACCATAACAAACAATGTATCATGGAATAACTTAACCAATTCAATTAGAAGAAATATTACTTCCAAGAATAAAATGATGCATGCTTTCAAATAAGAAGTAATGAAAAAAATACTCACAAGTCCAGTCTGACTGTTCACACAGTTCATATTGATTCTAGATATAAATCGAGCAGTGGGAGGTTCATCTGGGTAGTGGGTGCCACACTCAATTTTAAGTGAGTACATTCTATTTTCATAAGGTGTCTGTAAAATATAAAACATATATTTAGAGAACAAAGAATAAAAAGTAAATTTGACAAAGTTACACAAAAATATTGGTACACCATTGCTGGAACTTCCCGTTAATTTCAATATCAAAGCACTCCAAATTCCACTTATTATGAATGATTTGAGCTCTTCGAGCTCATAAATTTGGAAAACCATGTTTATTTATTTTTATCAAAATTTAATATTTCATGAACAAATCAACAGATTTTGATAAGATTCACGGGTTTCGACGCAATTTTTTTAGCTTGACAAAAAAAGCCTATATAACAAAAAAATTGATTTCACAGAAAGTGTTTAGGTTATTTTGAAAAAATACTTTTTCGAGATTTCTTTCGTCAGCAATATCTTTAGAACGAATTAGCCGATTTTGATGAGATTCACGGCAATCGACGTCGTTTTTTGAGTAGAAAACATGATTAGATTATAGAATTAATCAAGTGTCGAAGAAATTCCAAAAAACCTACTTTTTGAAAATTATAAATACTCGAATTTTTGAGTTTTACTCGGATTCAACCGTGAATGATTCAGAATTCACATTGCAAATACACGCACGTACCCCTGCACGCCCGGGTGTGCGCAAGCACGCAAGCACGCACGCACGCGCAAAATCGGGGTAAAAACAATAACTTCCCAATTTTTTGAAAATCACTGATTTTCATAGCGGGAAGTTAAAAACGTATCAAGAGGAAAGGGAAATGTGCCCCATGTGAAATTTTACCTATTAATTAGCTATAACAATCTAGCTTTCAAACGTGATAATTAAAACAAATCCTTTCTAAAATGGGAGAACTCCACGTTCAACAGAAAAAATTAAAAGGCTGTTGAAAGAAAAGAAAATACAACAAACACAACAAGGTGATAAAGATTATTAAGGAACTTCACATGGCCTTTGACCAAGGAAATTATAGATGCAAAACTATTAAAGCTATTACATTGTTTTGTCATCAAAGTAACAATGAGGATCACATAGCAGGAATTCAGAATTAAATACATCAAAAGTGTATTGTATCAAATAAAAGAAAATAATGCGATATTGTAGACAGTTGATGTACTAATCATATTATTGTGAAGGAAGACTGTAAAATTTAAAAAATTACCAATGGATGTAAAGTAAAGAGATGGTAGACTAATAAATTATTAAATGAGATATAGATAGATAGATAACATCAGGCTGTTTTCCACAACTTCCTGTCTAAGCGCGTACTATGCGTGTGGGCAGGAATAATTCAATTATTCAAGCCACGAAATCTTCCCGAAGAAGTTTAAAGTTGCGAGCAACTTCGGGGAGTAGTCCCGGCGTGCTAAGATGTTTAGGCCCACCGCGATATCGAGACATGTCAGAAACACGTGGGCCGCCGTTTCTTCCTCCCACATACATGAGGTATATATATATGTGTGTGTGTGTGTATATATATAGTATAGCTTGCTAGGCAGACGTTGTTCAGCCCTTTTCGACGACCCTTTGTCATGTCCTATTAAAAATCCTTAAATTCGCAAATAAAATATCCTATCTCTCAAGTTGGACCAAACTGCACACGAAGTGCAAATTTGATTAAAATCGGTTAAGTAGTTTAGGAGTCCATCGCGCAAACAACGTGACACGTAATTTATATAGCATTTTTGCCCATACTCATAAAATTCGAGCTCAATTTACAAAACGCAATACCTCTCCTCTCTCTCTCTTCATTAAGCTACAATAAAACAATAAGTTTACAGCTGTATGCCCATTACTCACAGATTACTCCCTAATAGATTCCGCATACAGGGCCAAAAACGCGCGCAACACATGTTTGATGTAGCTAGCATATGAAGTGATGCTAAGAACAAAAAAAAGAACATCATGTCGACCAAGTTTGTGACCCGTAGGCACGTCCGAGTTTTTGAAAATTTTAAAATAATTTTGTATCCAAAATACATTATTATATACATATATTGTATATATTGTATCAAATACAGTGAAATGGTGTGCCAAGTCAGCTATGACATCCATTTATCAAAAAGATAAACCACTTGCACATCCACGCACAATAAATTATTTCTCCATTTTTTAATGTTTCTTTTTGTCAAAAATTTAAAAATTACGGTGCATGAAAATTTTCTCACCAATGCCGCGAAGAAAATTTGTACATTATTCAACTAACTTCATCTACTTGTACTCATAAACAGCTAACTTCGCAGCCACTACTCACCGACGGCAGCGCCGCTATAAATTCTAAAAATTTTCAAGGACAGGCGGGCTATGCTTTAGTATGTAGCGATCGTTCTCCTGTTCTCTAACCTCCATGATTTCATCGGTAAGTAAATTCTATTCTTATCACGTTAACCTATTTCAAATGCACCGGAGTTCAACTTATACTGTTAATATAATGGTGCAAAGTGATATCAATTAGCACCCGTTGATGTCTTTTTGAAATGTCCTTTTCACTCATTACGTAAATTAAAATAGTTGTCTTTGTCTAACGACAGCACATGTATCGATAATGTTGTGATTTATAAGTCGATATTTGTTTGGTCATCGTTTTTTTTTGTAGTCATTATTTTATACAAATAGTGGCGTATAATTGTGGTACATATATGTTATAGGTTTCCTAAATGCCCCGAAAGGAAAAAGATGTGGATTGAAGCTACTTGTCGAGGGGACCAATGGTTTCTCACCAAAAATAGTGTGCTATGCTCAAGACACTTCACAGAAGACAATCTTCATATTATGAAAAACCGTAGAAGGCTGTTGGATTCCGCTATACCATCTCTTTACTTGCCAGTTTTAGTACGGACTTTAACATTTTTTTAAGTATAGTACCAATGTAGATTACACAATAAGTAATAGCAATAAGTGGTTGATTAAAACGTGATATTCTAATATTTAGGCGAATGTTATACGTCGAAATTAAACTATTTTAATGGATTTATAAATCATAAAACATGTGAAAGTTATAATGTGATTATTGTTATTCTAGTGTTACATGAACTTCAGTAATATCTCATTATTATTATATTAATTACATCTAAATTTGAAACCCGTACCGTATGGTTTATTAATTAATAATACTACTTTTAGGTACAACAGTTGGCAAAACTACTGTCACCACCGAGAGGACATACCAGAGCACACACAAGGGATTCACACCATTTTGTTATATAGTGAGATAAAAGACCTACATCTTGCTGACAATGAAACTATGGTCAGTTTTGGTGTTCAGTCACTATTGACATGCTTACCTTTTGAAGACTGCATCTCCATTGTAACTAGGAAGCTAAAAGATAACAACATGCCTGCAGAATATGCAAGTTGATAGAGTGGCGATGGGCTCACCTGTATCTCCTATAGTCGCAGACATATTCATGAAGTACTTTGAGGAGAAAGCCCTTCTTACTGCACCTGTAAACCCAAGATTCTACATGGCAACTGCAGTTTTAGACCACCATAACTCCATAAACTCTAAAATACAACTCACAATGGAGTTAGAGACAAATAATTCTTTAGCTTTCCTAGATGTATTATTCATCCGAAATCCTGAGACACGATTGATCACTATGCATAGGAAAAAGATCCATACCAACCGATATTTAAATGGAGAATCTCACCATCATTCTTCACAGTTAGCTACCGTGGATAAATCTTTGTTTCAGAGAGCACAAGAGATGTGGCAGAAAACATCTGGCCGCCGAGCTTCAGCACGTCAAGCAAGTATTGCAAGACAACAAGCTTTGGGTCCCACGCCTACGTCACAGCGACTGAGTGAAGCCGGCCACAGTCGATGGAAGGGTGCTGTCATCTGCTTGGGACCCTGTAATTAACAAAATCTACCCAAACCCAAGCATACCACTGCAAGACTTCAAGGTTCAAGATACTGTAAGCTCGCTCCATGTAGATCAGCCCAAAAATCAATATTCAAAACTGAAGGTTGCCGGGCTAAAACATTGAGACGTCAAACATCTCAGTCCCCCCCCCCCCCCGTGACCATAAGTTTATTAACATGTATATAAATAAAACAAAAATAAAAAAAATATATATATATACATATATATATATATTGTTTTATTTATATACATTATTTTATTTTTTAATAAATTTCAAATAAAAATTGATCAATTTATTTATTTATCAATAATTAATAAATCCCAAATTCATCAATCAACGTCCCAACCCTATCCCATCACTATGGTTCGGAACATTCTAAGTTCAACCTTCAATTATCCATAGTTCATTTGACATGTCCCCCGCAACTCATGCATGCCACGAAATTTGGTTAAATCAAAACAGAACAAATATTCCTATTACTGTCTTAATGTAAAGTGTGTGCTATTACTTTAAGACTTATTGTTGTTGCAACACAGCATATGCACAAGCACAAAGGGCCTTTGTCGAAACCTTAAAAAAACATTTTAACACAAAAACACTTAAGTATACTCATTAATTTTTATTTAATTGTTTTACAAAGTCAACCTACAATTAAAATATCTAACGAAGTTGCTCAAAGTGGCCAACTTCAGCTTGTAGGCAAGCTAATGCTCTATGTATCACCTGAGTTGATGAGTGCCTAATCATTTCTAAATCAGATCTTATTTCTTCGACAACTGACGTTATTTTTGTGATATGTTTTTTCTGGTGTTTGCAACTGTGGCGAACACCTTTTGCTTCATATGACCCCACAAAAAATAATCCAAGGGTGTCAAATCAGGTGAGCGAGGTGATCACGCTACTGGACCACCACAACTGATCCACAGCAATTAGTCATTATTGAAATAGTCTCTCACTGCTCGAGAAAATTATGCAGGTGCACCATCAAGCTGGACCTTGACGGTACGACAAAGGTAGCTCTATAAGGCTATCAGCAAACTGTGTCTCTAGGAGCTCCAGAAATCTAGTGCTGTTTAATGTAGGAGGTAATTCCAACGGTCCTATCAAGCAGTTGTTGATTATACTTGCCCGTACATTCACCGAAAATTTGTGTTGAAAGGAACTTGGGCGCACCGCTTGTGAGTTTACCAAGCACCAGAGATGATCATTTCTGTGGGTTGCAATGCCAGCTTTGAATTTTGCTTAGTCAGTCCATAATATTTTTGCAGAAAGTGACTGTTCTGTCTCACACTTCGAATGGTCCACAAACAAAATACAGATCTTGTTGCAAAATCTGTTCCAAGAATGCCTTGGACCTGTAGAAAATGAAAAGGGTGTAATCCCTCTCTTTTCAAAATTCTCCATACATTCCACTTAGACAGTTGTAGTTGCACTGCGATCCGTCGAACGCTTAGTCTGGGATCATTGGTTATTAGCCTAAGCACTTCTTCTTCATCTTCGGGCAATATGAAACGTGCACGTTCATCATTCAACGACATAGGAACAAACTACGTACAAAACCTCATAAAACAGCCCTGTACTCAAAAAGTTTCCTGGGTATGGCACCTAAAATTTTTAATAAACTCCCAAAAAACATCAAAGAAACTGATAATATAGACAAATTTAAGAAATTGTTTTCGAGTTTTTTAATAAATAAAGCATACTACTCTATCAACAAATATTTTGAAGATAAAATGAATGGTTTTTAGTACCTACAATAATTAATGTCCGATTTATTTATCTTTATAGTGTTAAGAATTATGTAATTTCTAAACATACGAATTATAATTGAAATTGTTATTTTATTAAAAATAAATTTTCATATTGCGAGGTGATAGTTTATCACTATTTACAATAGTACTATTTATAATAATATATACTAAAAAGGCATACAAATATTTGTATGACTTTTTAGGCGAAACCTAGTGTTACTTATCATACCTTTTCCACCAAGTTTGTAACTCTTTACCTATGTTTTACAAATAAATTATTTGATTTGATTCGATTCATTAACAGTCCTTTGAATGCCACAACGACAAAAGTTTTGCGACACAGCCTACACCTGTTAGGGTACCTTCGTCAATATTCTTGTAAAGCTCGATTTGCACTTCCATTGCAAAAGCCATACACAAAGTGTACGTTGGCATTATGTTGCCCTAAATATTGACGATTATCCATATTTGTATCACACTCTTAAAGATAAACAGTAATACAGCACATAAACAGCATGGACAATAAATGGAAGTAGCGATCACAACGCAGGACGAGGGACAATTAATTTAACGGAATGCATCACTGTATCAATTCGAGAGCAAGCAGTGCCAGATGTCACCAAACAAAGGCCTTTAGTGTTTGTGCATATGCTATATTCAAACAACAATAATTCTTAAAGTAATAAACATACAGCTGTAAACCAAGCTCAAAATCTGTCCATCTAGTAAGAGAATTAAAAGCGTAATCGGGGTTGTTTCAGTAGTAATTTACAATAATTTGCCGATTAGCATAATTTTTTGACATTTATTTGGACTTCAATATATTTTTAAAGTTATGAATATGTGAACCCATTTTTTCGTAATGTAGATGAGTTACAATTCAGTATGTAGTGTATTAAAATGGTTGTGATATGTGTACCTAGAATATGATAGTATTATAATAGTCTGTGACCGGACACACTGTATAGATGTCATAAGAGGCGAGAATGAGAAGCTGAAACAGCTTCTACTTCATAACAATTTATTAACAATAAAATATTTATGGTTGGTTCATCCCCACCTGTCAAGCATGGCAGCTGCTATGACAGCCTGCAATCAAGCATTTTGACAGGCTGTAATTAAAATGATGATAATAAGATATCAACTGTAGGGATTTATTTTAAAGTTGGATGTATATCACTCCATTAAAATGGTTATGATTGCATATTTATCCTTACTTAGAATATTTTGTTAATATCCAATCTAATTAGCTCATGCTTAATCATTATAAGCCACCATCTGTACTGTATTAGTAACATTATAGATTGATGTCATAATAAAGATTTTAATGATTTTATCAATAAAAATAATTATTTCATAACACATCTTCAAGCTAAGACCTGTAACTTTATTATGTTATAATTTGAGATTTAAGAACATGTACTGTAGAAAACTTACACATTTGGACACTATGTTAGACACAGAGATATCTTTTTAACAATAATTGAGTTAACAAAAACTAACTCCAACTATCATCAGATCTGAAAAAATATCTATCTAAAATGGTTAAGTTACCTTGAAGATATTATTACAATGACCAAGTTTTTTGAAGTTGATTTTATCAGTTTTAGAAAAAATCTTTTAGAATATAACATATAATTACAACAACTTATGAGCGTTTTTCAAAAAAGTGTTCACTAGAAAATTATGTATCCTGTGAATTTAGATCCATATTCAAACAACCTAAGGGTTTCAAAACTTGTTTTGTTAGCCTAAAAGGACAAAACAACTTCAAATATGATTATTGATGTATTCAAAACAACATAAATCTGTTTATTTTACATAAATATAGGCAATTTTTTAGTGTCCTACCCTCGTTTCGCAAAGTTCTGAATGAAAAATTTAGTATTATCTTACCCTTTTCTTCAATAATTGTTTTAACAAGCATTGCAAGCAAAAGCAAGCAAATTACAGCTACCATATTAGTTTTTCATGGCAGTCGCGTTTGTGAAATACAAGTTGGTGGTTTGGTGTCACATCATCCTGTTTTCATTTTCCCTTACGAATTTGACTATTTGAGGTAAGTTATAACTTCTTGGTATTATAGATTTTGATGGCTTATTAGACAAAGTGTTAAGAATATGAATTGAAAGTAATATTTGGTAAAATTACATCGAAACTACTGAATTTAGAAGTTTGTTTCTGTGCCGGCGGCATATGTCACCTCCTCTATGTGACATATTATATTAGTGGAAAACCAAATGTGACATAGTGGAATTCTTAAGCATGGTTTACATTGTGTCTGTTTTATTTTGAAGTCATTATCAAGCTGGTTTATGACAATAATATAGACCACCTTATAGTTCTACATTAGTATCAACTATATTTTATTTAATAGACAATAAATTAAATTAATCATTACATAATATATAGTTACACACAGTAGTATGTAGGATGAGGATTCATACTTATCTGATAACAGCAAAAGTTAGGTAGCAACTTAGATCATACAAATTAAAATTACATCAGGCTTCTCTTTTTCAGAACTCACCATGGCATTAACAGCTGCGCGATGGTTCAAAAGATACAGATAAGAAATAAAACAGGACCCAGAAAAGCACTGCCTTCACTTGAAAGACTAAAGAAGAATTTTATGAAGGTAACTGAGCTGAATGAAGAGTAAAAATATGGCATAGGCAACATTGGGAACAATAAATAATGAAAATGCAAAGTTTTCTGAAAGCTATACCTCATAGTTCCTACATGTGACGCAAATTTTTATTAACGTCACTTGTCCTATTGTTGCTGTGAAATTTATATTAAATTTAATATTTGCTTGGTATGAATATTGCCTTAATTTAACTTAAAAAGAAATCTATCCATTAAACCTTGTTATAATATTAATTTAAATAGCATATTTTAATATAAAACAACCCCATTAAAAATTACATTGTGCAATAAAACATATCATAAAGTAGCATACAGTTTTTAAAGAAAAAATGTTAATTTCAATATTACTAATTATAAGTTTGTGATTTCTAGACTATTAATGCTCGAAAAAGTTTTAGTAAAATTATAATATATTCTTGAAAGACAACTGAGTTTTAATAATTATCCCAACTTTGTGATGTAAAGGAACTTTTCAGTTGACAAACCTTATTAAAATATAAATTTCTCATTAAATTAAAGACTTCACATAAAAATTAGTATTTTTTAAATATTTTAATTTTAATGACTGATAAAATACATATTAATTATTAAATATTGTCTTTTATTTCAGTGGAATTCCATTATGCAACTAACACACTTTTAGAAAAACACCCTAATATATTTTGCTGATTCTTAAATTGTTATTGTTCTTAAAATAGACTTAATATTTCTAAATAAAAAAAATGTTTTACCCTTGGGGGACCAATAATCATCCCAGTCCAATGAGTTAGGGTCATGTCATCATCACTCTCAAGACCCCAAGAAATAGTCCCATCGCCCACTCCCTTCTGACCTTGCTCAAGTTCTTCTAGAAGACGAAAGTTTCGTGGAACGACTATAAAAACACGAGAAAAAAGCAGATTATTAATTTTTTTTCCAATATCCTATCAAATGAATGTTCTTCAAGCAACTTTGACAATAAACGTTTATGCTAAACACAAAAAAAAATCTAAAAATCTTACCAACGCCTGATGACGGATTCGCCATGATCAGTTTCACCGGCGCTATCGAGTAACTAATTTACTAGTCTTAATAATAAATTGGCAAAAACAATTATACCATATAAATTGTAAAACTTAATCGAAGTTAAATCATTTACAATTTTTTGCTATGATCCAATAATATTTCATTTAATTTACAATATCTCAAACTCGACCCAAACTGCTCAAAGAGCAGGTTAGTAATTTTTTGCTGACTTTGACAAATGTCATATCCCTTTTCTCTATGGATTTACAAGTTGGCATAAAGTAACCCGTAGATGGCGCAGCTTATGCCCGCTCTACAATAGAAAAATAGCAAGCGACGTCGCGGCGAGAAAATACCGCGAGATAAGCAATAATGCCCAGTTATCATTATTTCAGTAGCTAGTCCATCGATCGATTCCAGTGCTGAAATCACACATAATAAGAACCGGCTCTGGAATGTACCCATTCCAGTGAGCTAACCAGTCCAGTGATTGGATTGCCGGTATACTTTATCATTCCAGCTCACTCATTCCAGTGCCACTGGAATTGTGTAGACGGCCAGTCAATGCTGAATTCAACATTTAACAGTGAACACGAATTTTTGTAGTTTTGTATATTCCTAACAATGAAATTGATAGAATCGGGCGTTACTTTGCGGAAATCCATTATAATAAATTTGTTTCTAGAAATATCTAAATTTGAGATTATTTTACATTGGTTTACTTTTGTAATCCACGCGAGAACTAAAGGCTTAGGTGTTTAATTGGAAATGTTCACAGAATAAATAATACTACGTACAGAAGTTGCACCCCGTTGATGTTAACTGCTTGCCGACGTTTAATAGCCTACATAATTATTATTAATCAGATAAATCGCGCATGCAAGCTAAATAAAAATTTATTGCTGCGCGTTAGTGTCCATAGTACTTTGCATCTTTTCCGCTCCCTAGGTCACGGCGGACTTTCCGTGGTTATTAAGGGATGTCAATAAAAAGTAAAAAAATACATTGCGAAATATTAATTATGTTACTTAGGTGAAGTACCTGTTCACGCACGTTTATTTAGGCATGATTTAACAATTTGCATCCTGCGACGGCGCGCGTTTTCGAGCGGGAAACCGGTTTGATGGCGCGGCCGGGGGGGGGGGGCGGCGGATTTGTGCGGCGGACAGCCGCTTCGGCGGAGCTCATCCCTTTTTGGTGAGCTAACCGTAGCGCTCAGAGGTCGCGCGTTAGTTTTGATACAGTTGCCGTTTCGAAGCCCTTGTCGTTTATACTTGTAATTGCAATGTAAAATAATCTCAAATTTAGATATTTCTGGAAACAAATGTTAGAAAAATATGTAAACTGATTTGTGATCTAACTTTGAAATTAATGTGATATTTTCATATATCAATACCTAAAAGTTGTTTTTAATGTTATAATTTGAATAAAAAGGACGTACAAAAGGTTTTTTTGATTGAATATGATTAGCAGTTTACTAAATGTTACCCTGTCTCATATTTATAATAAAATAAAAATACATTTTAATTGATATTTTAAAGCTTTCTTCTTACTTTAAATTGGACTACATACGTAATCCAAGCGACCAATTTATAAGGCGCGACCATTGGCAGGGTTAGGTAGTCTCATTGCACATTGAGTTTATGAACAACCTATGAAACCGTTACTTTTAGGGATCCAAAGCGACCTCTTTGGATATCTACAGAGATAGCCTAAGGAGAAATTTTGAAACGTTTCCTAAAAGCAAAAAAACGAATGAAGGTCTGGACTTAGGTATCCGTGAAGCCTTCGAGGACAGCTGTCCCGTCAAAACCAAGACCTCAACACGAAAAGTTCCTTGGTGGAATACTAAGCTAAAAGAACTTAGGGAAAAGACCAGAAAACTATTTAATAGGGCTAAGAAAACCAACGAGTGGGATATTTACAGTGCAGCTCTAACTGAATATAATAAAGAAATTAGGAAAGCCAAGAGATCATCGTGGAGGAAGCTATGCGAGGAATTTGAGTGCTTGCCTCGCAGTGCAAGACTACACAAAATGCTATCGAAAGTTAAACCTAATCAGATCGAGCTTCTTAAAAAGCCAGATGGTCATTTCACTAATAGTGAAACAGAAACATTGGAGTTACTAGCGTCAACCCGTCACACAAGACTTCTGCCTTGAATTCTTTTAGAACCCTAAGGAGGCCTTGTAATGAGGACTGGTGTATGGCTGCAAAGATAATAAGGCCATGCAGTGGGCTGTTGACTCTTTTATTCCATTTAATCAAGCGGGGAGGATGGAATAATTACCATCCGACTACAGAGTGGTATCGACATCCTTTTTCCTTATCTGGTGAAAATCTTCAGAGCAAGTTTTGCATGGGGATATATTCCAGAACGATGGATAATCGTCAAAGTTCTATTTATACCTAAGGCTGGTAGAAAGGACTACGCTTTATCAAAGTCCTTTAGACCTATAAGCCTGTCTTACTTTCTCCTTAAGACATTGAAAAAGGTTATAGATAGATATGTAAGGGATGTAGCTCTAGCTATGAGCCTCATACATTACAACCAGCATGCTTACCGCAGAGGCAAATCTGCGTAAACAGCCCTGATCAGTGTCATTGACAGGGTCGAAAAAGCAATAGAGGATAAAGAAATAGCTCTTTGTGCCTTTCTAGATATTGAGGGTGCGTTCGTCAGTAGCCCCACATCAATGCTGATTGGGGGCCTGACATCTAAAAATGTTGATCCCACAACCATCAGATGGGTGAAGTTGATGCTATCAAACAGAAATGCAAAAATAGCGGTGTTTTAAACTTCGATTGAAGTAACCAACTACAAGAGGTTGCCCACAAGGAGGTATTTTGTCACACCTTCTTCGGACTCTTGCGGTTGATCAACTATTGTACAAAACGGCAGACCTGCGCATTGATACACTGGGTTATGCTGATGACCTTGTGATCATTGCGAGCGGCTTTTGCCAAAGTACTTTATCATCAATAATACAAAGAGCCCTTTAACAACATAAATAACTGGTGTTGTCAACAGTTTATCAGTCAATGCTGATAAAACTGTACCCTTTACCACCAAACCAAAACTTAATGGTAAAGAAGTTCCATTTTCCACGGAAGTTAAGTACTTGCTATTGTCTGGTGTAACAAGGCAAACCAAAAGACGACTACGGACAGACTAAATAGTCTATAAAGGACTGCCTGCTTAATGGCAACTGGAGCTATGCGATCATCACCCGGAGCGTCTCTTAATGTACTTCTATGCCTAACGGCCCTTGATCTTTATCTAGACAAAGAGGCGAGGGCTAGTTTGTATAGGATTAACAACCAGGGAGGTCTGAGCTTGCTCTCCTATAGATTGAGATCCATGCTCGACTCAATTAAGGAATCACCGGTCTTATGCATGATCTCAGATAACATGCGTCCACTACACACTTTTGATAAAAAGTATATAGTGAAATTACCCTCCAGAGAAGACAGGCTAAATGGCCAGGTTACCTGTGAGGTCGGTAGCCACATATGGTATACCAATGGGTTTAAAATGGGCCTCGACGTAGGCTTTAGAATTTACGGGGAGCGCCCCAAATTCAAACTTAGTATGAATTTGGGTAGATACAACTCTGCCTTCCAGGCAGAAATTTTCGCCATACTTTGTTGTGCGGAAGTCAACCATATAATTTACATAAACTCTGATAGTCAAGCAGCACTGCTGGGGCTGAGGTCAAGCTTGGCGAGCTCGAGGCTAGTTTGGAGACTGCGTGAACCGTTTAAACAGGGTCGTTTTGAGATGGGTTCCGAGTCACGAGGGTATTGTAGGCAACGAATTTGCCGACAAACTTGCAAGGGAGGGCTCAAAGTGCACACAATTTGGACCTGAGCTATTTTGTGGAATCTCAAGAAGCCTAGCCGGATTGACCCTTGAAACTCTTCATCACAATAAATCACTTAAGACCAGATCTTAAAACATTCTAAAACCTTAATCCGGGCTTTTGCGAAAATTACGAAAGAAATTTACGAAATTCGCTTCAGAAGCCCTGGGATTAAGTAAAAATAAATTGCGCATTCTGGCCAGAGCCCTAACTGGAAACTGTTGTCTTAAAAAGCACATGTCCATCCTGGGACTAAGCAACTCAAGGATGTGTCGGTTCTGTTCCATAACAGAAGAAACGCCTCTACATATCCTAACTGATTGCGGACCCTTAATGAGCAAACGTAACACTCATCTGGGTAACTATGTACTTTGCCCAGAAGAAGTGAATTTGCTCACAGCTAAGCAACTCCTTCTATTCATTGAAGACATAGAGCTTCGCCGTGAACTATAGCCACAGCAGCGATCACAATAGATCTTCTAGGTCGCATAGCTGCTCGCACATAAAAAATATACTTTTATTGTTTATATGTTGCTAATATAAACTAGTCTTGTAAGAAGTGCCGTTTTGCTAGCGTGTTAAATTGTAAACCTAATTTGTAACGTCTATGGATAGACTTTAAAAAATATATTCATATATAACTAATCTCGTGGGGAGTGTGCTTGTCACATTTCGATTATCACTACGATGTTTTCGAAATATTATATAATCGATTATCTTATCGGCAAAGTTTATCACAAAAAATACTTACATATGAAATGTAAATCCTTTTTTTTTATAAATTTGAAGTATTAGACTTCTTTTTGTACACGTTAACCGCACAATCGGCATTTTTTTAAAGAACACCTGAAACGACGGAAACGATTCTTGTAATGACGAAATCGATTCCATAAACAGTTTTTATAAACGCACAAGATTTTCAAATGCAATACTTGCGCAGAGGGGAATTTTCATGCGAGGCGAGTCCATTTGGTTGAATAGTCTAATATCCAAGTAGAATGTGGATGACGGATAGACTAGGTACGACTAACCGCAGATAAACGATATTTTTACTTGGTATCTATATACTTTGTAATCACTTTCACAAAACTGACAGTTACCCTTAACACCTTTACTTACTGGCGGTTACAAAACAACTGACTAATCTATCGTCACAGC